ATACTTTACACAGTTTTAGAGTCGGGTTGTGGGGCGCAAATGTGACCTCTCCTAACTCAGGTCTCTTCACAAAAAAAAAATAAAGGGAAATAAAATAAACCAGGTCTGTTGAAGGTACAAATTCGAAGTACGTTGTGAACAAAGATGTGCTTATGTTGACAGGTCGATAACCTAAAAGCTAGTTTTGTTCCGATCTTCAAGGTTGCAGACTTACAGTATCCTTGAAAATACTAGCCCATGTAGTAAGGAGTTTGTCTTTTAATTGCATGTGTCTTGTCTAAAAGAGATACTATCTATTAATTCAATAATATTTCTTTTCTAGATATTTTAATTTCTTGAACCTCAATCACTATTCTTTAATCTCATCACTTAAAATGTTTTAATCTAATCTAAAATTTTCCTAATTCATTTCTGATTAATTACTAATCATTCTTAAATAAATTTATATGACATTGCAGATTGAACACTAGTTTAATTTATTTATATACAAGAAACAAAATCATAAATATAAGTGGGATTTGATGTGTAAACGCAGCTGGATTGTTAAAAAGAATAATGCCAGCGCAACTTACCCTCATTTTTTTAAGTCTAACGTCTTCCTCTGTTACCATGGATATATGCGTTAGCTATAACCACCGGATCCTTAGCTCAAAATAGAAAAAAAAAAAAGGATGTTTGTTTCATTAATTGTTGGTGATTGATTACAGGAGCTAGGGACCTACAACAATGGTCACAGGAGACTCAAATGCATCCATGGCGGGGTGTTTTGGTGATCTGCAACTCAATTCCACATACTTTCATGACTCCTCTTTCAATGTGCTTTGTAAAGTTGAAGTTGGTCCTAATAACGTTAAGCAACGCAATTATCATATGGTGATTTGGTTATTATGCAACTCCACATGCATACGTGTTCACCAAAACTTCTTTAGCTTTGCGATAAAATAATGTGATAAATAGTGGTTTATGTATCTTCTGCAATGTTTTAAAAACTGACCTGGAGGTTGAATTGTTTTTACCTCTGGGTTATGGGTCATTGGTTCAATCATCTGGGTGTTGAATGGTTACATCATGCTACATCAATAATATATAAATTCATATATATGTATATACACACACCCGATATATATGTATAATTATATATAAATATGTATTTTATTAATGAATAATGCACAATTATGTTCTACATGTAATATATGTATTATGTTATTGCAATTTGAGGCTAAAAAATGGATTTTTTGGTGAAAATAGCTGGATAAGACGCCTATGGTTTCTTGGGATGCATAGATCTCAAAAATTTACCCAAAATAAAAAATAAAATCACCTCAATCAGACTTTAGAGTGTAAAGTTATGACCTCCCAAAGTTTGTGTACACATTAATTTAGTGTATTGTTAACTGTTCTCTAGATTTTACTAAAACCAAATCCAAAATCTTAATTGAATGATGGTTCAAACAATTCAACCAGCCCGATTGATGGATTGAAAACAGTACTGGCCTTATGTAGAGCTGATGAACTGCTAATTTGGATGAAACAGCCAATAGGGCTTTACAAAAACAACAATGCCCAAAAAAAAAATCAGAGCATCGTAGGACTAATGGTACTGGTATACATGGCTTTCTCTGTATACACCTGATTTTGCCAACAAATCTGCTAAAATGAATTCAAATCTCTGGGGATCTTTCGACACTAGCTATTGATCTAACTCTAACATACAGTGTTAGCTGAATCTCTCTCAATCTATACTATCTATAAAAGAGTGAATGCCCCTTCTTTCTAGAATTTTCATTGGACATTTTTTACCCTTTTGTCTAAACATAAGACGGGTATAAAAAGAGCATATATGTCCTTTACTCTCACTCCAGAAACTACCCACTTATAACCATTAAAAAACTGTCAAGGTGTTGGAACCATAAATTATAACTGTTCAGAAACTTTCCACTTAATACCTCAATTATTTTTTAGATAAATAAAATATAAAAAGTGATAAGAAGTTATAAATAATTTTATCTTAGAGATATTGTCACGTGTAAATGCACGTAAACATTTACTAGTAATCAAAAAAGAGATGAAACCAATGAGATTTGGAAAATGGAGACAAGTGAAGTGGCCAACACCCTCCGCCTTAACTTAACTTGCTGTCCCTATAAGTCCGCTTAATACCCAGATAATTTCAGTTCATCCCTGTTCGACAATTGACATAATAACGCCCCCTACTCTTGCCAACAACTGCCGTCAATGTTCAAACCTGAGAACCAGAGCCGTCGTTGAAAGTTACCAGGGAACAAACCGCATTCATGCACAACTAACCTGACCGTGGGGCGTTATTATTGGTAATTGAGCAGCCCCACCCCCCACCCAACATAGCCATGCAATGCATCAAGTGCAGCTAATCTTAACATCCATTGCTACATATCTATCAAGATTGGTGCAAATATACAATTAGTCTTAGGCCATGTTTGGAAGTGCTTAAATTAAATATAAGTGTTTATTGAATAAGTGCTTAAAAACAAGTGTTTATTTGAATAAGTACTTATTTGCATTTGACACCCAACTTTTTTCAAGTACTTATTTTTTAAAATAAGCACTTATTTTATTTGGGCGTTTGGTAGTCTTTTTCTCTAATAAGCACTTAAATAAGCAATTGTGACTTTTGTCCTTCATTTTCTTTCAAAATTTCAAAATATACCCTTTCAAAGCACTTTTGTTAAATTACTTTTATAAAACACATTTATGAAAGTACTTTTATAAAAAACACTTTGACGAAAGCACTTTTATAAAAAACACTTTTACACACTTATGAAAGTACCCTTATGAAAGTGCTTTTATGAAAGCGCTTTTACAAAAACACTTTATGAAAGCACTTTATAAAAGTACTTTTATAAAATGCTTTCATAAAAGTTCTTTTGTAAAAGTACTTTCATAAAAATACTTTCTTATAAGTGCTTTCGTAAAAATACTTTTATAAAAGTGCTTTCATAAAAGTGATTTCATAAAAGTACTTTTATAAAATTCAACTAGGGATAATATTATAAGTGGTATTTTAAAATTCAACTAGGGATAATTTTGGAAGAAAAAAAATTGAATAAGTGCTTATTATATAAGCACTTAAAAAAGCTGAAAATTTGGGCTTAAAAAATAAGCCATTATTTTAAAATATGCACTTATTTCGGGCTTATTTCCCAAATACCAATAAGTGCTTAATGGCCAAAATAAGAACTTATTTTGAATAAGCACTCCCAAACATGTCATTACTTGAAATTGATTAATTTAAATGTATCCGTGCATGCTTTTATGTTTGGCTTCTTTGGTGACTACCATGTAAAAGATTATCTCATGCTACATAATGAGCAACTAAACTTTTTGGCAAAGATAAGAGCTAATTTGTATTTTGAATGCTCGAGATTAATTTATAACAGTTAGGGTCGGTTTGGTTTATAGTTGGAATTGGAATCAAAATTCTTTCAAATCAGAATTAGAATGGTCTATTCCCATACTCTGTTTGATTCAGATGGAAATGGAAATGGGAATCGGAATCAATAGGAATAAAATTTCATTCCCAAAGGAGGGAGAGGGAATGATCATTCCCTCAAATGGGGGAATTAATGCCATTCCACCGGGAATGAGAATGAGATTCCAATTCCACCCAACTAGACAATTGAAATCAAATAAACCCATTCCAATTCCAAACCCCTATTTCAAACAATTGGTTTAAAAATATTTAAGCACTTCTGATCTTCTTGTTTAAAACTCAAGTATAATTAGCCAAAGAATGTAATATTTATTATATTTATCATAATCAACTGATCATCAGACTGTATAGCATTAGGCTACCAATAAGCTAGCTTTACCAAAAGCAGAAAAGAAAAGAAAACCCACCCGTAGGGAATGAAGCCAGAGACTAATATTTGATGCCTGCAGGATTATTTAACTATCCCGATCGAAGCCCTGAACAACAATCAAGCATTCCTTCCTTGATGTTGCCAGTTGCAGCCATCGTCTCCAAGTCGTTGCCACCAACTATACACATCTTTATTCTAACTTCATCTCTTATGGAAACCCCATCATCCACACCATGCAAGAACTCATATATGTATATAACATATAAAATATCTATTAATGTCTTGTTTAATAATAAATGCATGACCTAAGAAACTTTGTGTAGTAGCCAACTAAGGATTAGGTAATGAATCCTCTCTCTCTCTCTTTCTTTCTTTTTAATTAGAATTAATTGAGAGGAGAGATACCTACCCATATGATAATTTCTTTCTTGCTTTGACAAAGGGTGACCCACTTGACTTTAATAAAAAGCTTTTAAGCTAAATGTGAGTAGAAGGACTAGCAAAATCAAAACCAAAAGAAAACCTTTGGTTGATGAAGTTAATGGTTCTGTTAACAATAGGGTGGTAATAGTCAATCCCTTGTTAGAAAAGCAACTAGTAAGTCTCAACTACTCGCAGAGAGGAAATAGGGTCCCCAGGTCCTCTCTTCTCCCGCCTTTCTTTCACCCACGCTAGCTCGTTAGTTGTACGGATTCCTGTTTATTAAATCAAAATCACCCCAAATGAAGCTATCGGGACTGATTATCTTATTTGTTTTAATTGAATTTAGTGAGTGAGGAAATATTACAAACACTTCGAAGCACTTATATTTTCTTATCGTTACAACTTATATTGATTCGTGCTGCGTCACGTATTTGAAATGACTTCTGTCTTGGTCAACTCTCTTTACTCCTATCAATGAGAATAAGCTTTCTCTCTCTCTCTCTCTTGATGGCTTTGAAATTTACTTTCTCTCTCTCTTTTGTTTTCTAGCGGACATCTGAAAACAAGCAGGAAATGGGGTGGAGCATCAAGCAGTGATTGCTCAATGGATCAAACGGGTCGGAAGGCCTGACTAAGAGCCAAAATTCCTGAAAGGGTTGGCGATAAAAAGCAAAAAAAACATAAGCAATGCCAATTGCCAAACAAAAATAAGAAAACAGTGGAACCTATATTCTATGTGCACGTTCGGTTGTGTATGAGTGGATGTATTTATTTTCTGTACAAGTGATGCATTGTGTATTTATAATATTCGATCGTAATGACAGCCATAGACAGTAAACGGGGTGGTGCAACGTAAATCAAACCTCTCTCTCAGTCTCAGACATGTTTAAATTAAAACTAAGCAATTTCCTGGATAAAAGACTCATCATCAAGAAGTAGTTCAGGCCAAAACGGAGTTCCTCCTCCGTAGCTAGATGTGCTGCAGGCGTCACCTGGGTTGCTAATTGCAGTCTGGGTTGTAGAAGGAACAGGTTGAGGTGGAAGAAGAGGAGGAGAGGGAGAATGGGGAAACCATGGAGATTGAGGTGAGCTTTCTGCTTGACTGAACCCTGCTGTGTAGTCAGAACCCTGGGCTATCTCACTGGTCAGATGTGTTWGGAAACCGCATGGCGGTTTCAGGTTTGGCGAATGAGAGAAATGGACCTGTGGATCAAGGACGGATTGACTAGTAATAGCAGTTCCAAGAGAAGATAGGGTGGAATTATCCAACGGGGATGAACCTAGAACTGGGTTATCTTTGAATGAAGAAATAGAGTTCAGTAGATTGAAGGACTCCATGTCTGTCATGCTGCTCAGGCTGTTTGAGGAAGAGCTAGCAGGCACTGTAGCTGCTGYCGTTTGGAGAAGGTGTTGACAATACTGAAGCTTAGCCATCTGAAAAGCTTCCGCTTGTAGTCTCACAGCTTGCTCTTCCCATGGTTGCTGATCCATAAACTCTCTAAGGTTGGCCAGAGCTAGCAGCTGCTGTAGGTTTGAGAAAATGTCAGTTCGAGGTCTATGGGTCATGGGGTCGAAGCCCATCTGTATCAGTTTCTTCTTTAGATGGGTGTTCCAGAAATTCTTGATCTCATTGTCAGTCCGGCCCGGGAGATGGGTTGCGATTGCCGACCACCTTGTAAATTATAAACAAATTTAAATTGGTTAAGATAAGTGTGTTTAAATAACGATATAAACAGAAAGTGAGAGAGTGAGAAGTTGCTATCTCATGACAGCAAAGACTAATGAAATTACTTGTTTCCAAGAAAGGAGTGGAGATTCAGAATTGTCTGCTCTTCTTCTGGTGAAAATTTCCCTCTCTTGATGTCGGGCCTAAGGTAATTTGTCCATCTTAATCTGCAGCTCTTCCCACATCTGTTAAGACCTGCAACAGAAACCACATACATTAGAGAGAGAGAGAGAGAGAGAAATTCTGGGTGTGTTTGTTAATGAACCTGCAAGTTTAGGGAGAGCTCTCCAACTTCCATGACCATGTTTCTGAATGTACTGGACCAGTTTCTGGTCTTCCTCAGGAGTCCAGGGTCCTTTCTTGAGACCGTTTTCATCACAACAAGGAGACCTTCCCATTTCTGTTGCTAACTTTTTTTTTTTTTGTCTTTGTATTTGCTGCCTCCCTTATTGGAAATGGGGTGGTTCTATTTATATTAATGCGTCCCCTCCTTCATCTCTTATTTAATTCTGTTGAATATAACTGACGTGTCCAGGCAATTGGTTACAAATCCAGTTTCACCTTAATTACTTCTTTCAAATGACATGTATGTCCTCCTCCCCTCCCTTCCCATTATTAATTTGTTTATTTATTTCTCTCTTCTCCTTCCTCCAAAAATATCTTTCCTTTTATAATACAGGATATACTACCATAATTGGAAAGGAAATGGATAACTGGGATTCGTGTCTACCGACCCCCTTGAGTGGGATATCACAGATGATGATGAATGATGGTTGTAATAATGAAGAATCACCATACTACCTTCCATTAAGAAGGGCCCACCATTCAACAATCACACACAGTTCTCCGAAGGTAAGGACCCACTTAGGAGGAGGGGACCAATTGAGCTGTTCTGATCCATCTGTTGATTAATCAATCACTCTCATATTAAATATGGTATGTCCTTGCACATTTAGAATCTTGTAAGAGTTGTTGGAGGTCTATGCTTGTATTTTTATTTTAAGGAAAAGGAAGTGATGAGGACTTAATTAACGTCCAACTCAACCCTAATGGAGGAGATATATATGTATGCAACAAACATCTTGTTCAGTGGAATGGCATGCCCTAATCACATGTAAAGAAAGAGAGGACTAGATGGGTCTTCTCACACTAAACAGTTGCTGGTAATCGAATAGAAAAGTCGAACCAACAAAAAAAAACAAAAACTTAAAAGTACAAGTCAGCGTCAAGATAACACGTGGCATATGTCTGCTGGTCAGAAGAACCTTCACCATGCACGCAATTTTCGTCATTGATTTCATGGCTGCCATGGATCGACTTACGTTTGTTTGGGTAACTAATGCGATGGGAGAATAGAAAAGAGGCTTTGGACCCAGTTTCATGGGCCCTCCACCTTACTTGTACATACTAGCATAGCAAAGCTGGCATCTGCATGTCAGTTCGCAATCGGTTTGTTAATACTTGATACCAATATGTGAATGTGACAATTACTTAGCTAGCTAAAATCAGTTATTCCATCGTCAAATGGTATTAATTTATTAAAAATTAAGGTAGTGATCGAAAATCTTAATATCATCTCTTTTCATCTTTCTGCATTACAAGCCAATTTCAGAGAGTTAATTGCTAGTTGATCAGTGAAAGCTAAACCCATGTAAGTTATAAAAAGGAAACATACAATAATGTGATGAGCCTTCTAATATATAGGTCTAAGTACCCTAAACTCTCAACTGAGCTTCATACGTTTGGGGCTACCCAGCCATTTAGATTCAGCTGATGACAAGCCCATTACGCCATAACCATAAGAGAGGGGGGAGAGAGAGAGAGAGAAAACACAGAAAATGATGATAGTATAGCACTCCATTTTTATATTAAAAACATGTATCTCGTTTGAGTTTTAAAAGCTACATCTCCTTCCACGTATGAGTGACAGGTTTCCCACCAAACCAACTACAGCTCTCTTAGGCTGGATGGATGTCTCCGACGTTTATATTAGTGAGAGAGCACCATCAATTCAATTCAAAGGAAGAAGCAGAAGGAACCCTAGCTAGGCCAAACGAATGCTGCTATGATGTATAACGTAATGACGTCCAAAGCAATATTGATCTTGATCGAGTATCGTTGATGGAGCGATAAATAATAAACTGATTGATACTGGAACTCGTCGGGAAGAAAAGCACCCGACTGGATGATGGATGAAGACATCAGTACTGGAGGTGACCTAATATAATTGACCATGGTTTGAGAGAGAGAGAGAGAGAGAGAGAAAGTGGTTCAGCCAACGCCCCAAATCTCTACCACCTTTGAAATTCAAGAAGGCATTCCTCTTTCACCCACGAAATGGGTCAATGCCATTCATTGGTGATTTGTTTTTTTTCCGGTTTGTCTTCTGATGAAATTTTCGTCGTTCCATAAGACCATAACAACTGGGGAGAATAAGTGCATAAAAATATATATAGTGATCAGTGCCTTTGTTGACATATGCCTCGTGAATTACTGCGTGTTACACTTGTCCTTTCTATGAACAGTATCCGCTGAATCTTACTTTATTGAATTCTTATCAAGAGTTTCTTAGATAAGAGAGATTTTCTTACCACGTGGCAAGGGCTAGTGGGATGGAACTTGCTACAGTGTGGATCGCCAATATTTCTATCATAAATGACAGATAACTTGTTTCCTACTGCCTAGCATTTGGGACCCTTTCAAACCCGGAATTTTATTTTGGCTGTCGGCACTCCTATTTTGTTATAATTGTATATTTAACAAACAACACTGGGAATGCATGTGATTTGAATATATATACAAGTGGGATTTAAAGTATTGAATACAACTAAATTAGCTCCAATGAGCTTAAAAAAACCCATAAAATAAAAATATTTAATTTCTATTTCAGTTTTCAAATCATAATGCATTGATTTGTTCTAAAAAACAAAAACTAATATCTTTACTTTTACTAGGAAAAATAAAAGGCCATACTTGATCAAAGGATAGGAACCAAATATGAATTGGGATCTGCTCTTCATTCCAAACTCACAGCCATATCTCATCATATATTGAAAACATCTCCCATGAATAATAATATATAAATATAGGAGATATTCATAATGTGTGGCTGATATATGCTATCTGAGCAAATACAGTAATATTAATTAATGATTTATCAACTTGAATCATATAATAATATTGTTCTCCACCCCATGTTAATGTTATATGTAAATAAAAAAAAAAATGTCAACCGACATGAAAAAAGTAGCTTTCCAATAATAATGCTTGCCTTTTCCCCTTTATTTTATTTTGTGTAAATAAAATAACTGGAATCATAGTCAGTGAGGTTGCACTATATAAAATGAATTGGAAAATAAATTTTTTTTTTTAATTCTTTCCTTCATAACCCGTTCCCAGTCTCCATACCCATAACCCTTTAACCCCAGTTACAGTGGGATTTGATCTCAAATCTCTGCTACAACCAGCTAGAAAACAAAACTATCTAAATAAATCCAATCCAGTTCTTCTAAATATGAAAATGATTATACATTTTGAAAATAAACTAACTTGTTTATTGCAAATTTCCTATTTGTTTGGTTCGACCAGTTGGTCCTAACACATTAATGTGCAATGAACACAAAATAGACTACCATGGTTATTTGACGCAAAATCAGGGTCATTTTTGTCCTAGGAGGCTCCAAAAGTCACATACCCTTTTTTAAATAAAAGCAAAGCTTCCATATTATCTATTCACAATAAAGCCATATATGTCCTTGTACATATTGGGCTGTATGTCAAACCTAAACACATATCAGCCACACAGGTCAAAAAAACATGGACGAGCTGGTAGGAAAATCTCCCCCCTTTCTCCCTGGCTTGCCTCATTTGCTGGCTGCACAAGTTAGTTTTTGTCCAAAAACAGAACAAAAGATTTTGGAGAAACCAAAGTATAGAGAAAAGGGCCTAAGACCCAAATCAAGTTGTTTTTTGTTATCCTCATTTTTGTTAAACAAAGCCCAAATAAAGGCTTAAAATAACAAAACCATCAGGTTTAACAATTGGAGATCGACTTGGACTTACCATTATAATTGCTGCAACTTTTTTTTTTTTTATAATATATACTTATGCCTTTGATTTGATAAAAAAGTTAATTGTTATTAGAACAACTAAATATTTATTATTATAAAAATTTAGCTGTGGGGTATTGGCTGTTTGTTTTTCTAGTGGTAGGTGACAGTTCCTGTCCATTGACTATTCTATTGCCATAATTATTATATATAACAAACATATGTAAATTCTTGTTCTCAAAATTGAAGCTCAGGAAAATTCAATGACTCCAGGATCCAGCAATTAAGGAAATAATAACTAGCTTAAACATATGAGTATGGCTTTGGAGGATAATAAAACTAAGGATTTAGATTTATTAGAAGCTAAATACATATATGAGAAGGCAAAATTTCATGTGGAATACAAGAGAGGGAGAGAGAGAAAGATTGCTTGTTCTACCAAGGTTCTTTGCCGGGTGGACCACCTCACAACAACAAAACAAGCTTTAGTCTATTTCAGAGACGTCCCTTTTTTTTTTTCAAAAATGCATAAAGAAAAAATTAGACTCTAATTGAGGGCATATGAGGTCATCGAAAGATTGTATCTGGCTTGGATTTAATCTTCGTTTCAATGTCAGCTAAACAACTGATTTTCTTGCTCTGATGGGTTTCTACCCAATACATCTAGAACTGAGGACTTTGTCCACCATGCTTTAGGCATTATCGTGCCACCTGTATGTACAAATAACTTGTGCAGTACTGTTCCAAACATTCTCCCTGAATTAGAGGCTCTATTATTTTGTCTACTTTCCCCTGTTCATTGGGTCTCATGCCATGGCCGGGTTTCAAATTACAAGGGATGTCAGAACTGCAAATTATATATGGTTATATATAGTAAATTATCAGTTGGTACCATGCTTGGTTTGATAGAAAATAAGAGATAGACAGAAAGTTGAGGGAAGAAGGAAGATGGGTTAATTTCAATTCTGAATTTCCTTCCCTTCTCCCATAAAATGAAACTATTCCATAGCGTTTTACATATTTACTCCAAATATTAAATAGTTTCTCTTAACATTTTGAAGAAAAGAAATGCTATATATATCATAATACCCATTAGTCATAGATTAAATGGTATTATACTATTCGTACAAGTCTATGAGACATTTATTTTTCATCTTATGATGAATGCTGGGGCCATCTGGATGCTTAATATGTTATTGACAAAACTATCCTTTTAAATTTCTTTTAATATATAATATAATTTAAACTATCTTTATTGAAGAAATTATTTAATTAGTTTTCTAGCTTACCCGACCTATTTGGACCTTTGTATTAGTTTAATCTAACACAACTTTCTAACCTACAGGTTAACTGAATTTTTCAAGCTCCATTGAAAA